CAGCCAAGATCAGTGGGGAAACACATTCCTGTGGGGTCCCCCTTTAGGTGAAGTAAACGGTTCCAGGTGAGGCTGCCGTGCTGGGGGCAAGTCTTCAGCTCCCACATTCAGGAAGGTTGTGGAAGCCGCCTGCAGTATACATCTGTGTCGAACTGCGTGGGAGGGGAGGGAGGCTGCAAATTCCTTCAGCTAAAGATCTCACAATTATTCTCCCTCTCTCTAATTTGGATGTTAATGTATTAGCTACAGCTTTGCCTTGGAGGCTAGAGATTGTTTTTTTCCCCCGCCCTGAAATTATACATCCAGATAGAGTAGTGTTCATTAAAGTAAGATTAGGAGAGCGTAATATGTGAGAAGTATGTAATCTTTTGCAAATGGTTAGTAAATTGGAACTACCCCAATTACAATCTTGTGTTCATCACACAGGACTGAATTACTCCGCCTGGGACGGGAGTCTCAGCCACGGCTCTGCTCAGCCCACATTTCATAAATATTGTATACACATGATATTCCTGCCATCTGCTTCGCTGGTCCCTGAGCGCATTTTCTGACTTCCTGGCTGAGTGCAGAGGGCGGTGGGAACGGGGTGGCCTTCCTGGCTGCCTGAGTCAAAGCCCAGCCCCGCCAGCCCTGCTCAAGGGTTCTGCTGACACCATCAGCCTCAGGTGTGCCCCCACAGACCTGCGCCAGTACCGACAGCACCCTCCGCACAGGGAAGACCCCCATTGATGCCTTAATGTAGCCGGAAGGGTCTCAGCGAGCAGGGAGCTGTGCTGTGGGGCTGCACTGGCAGATTTCATCTCCAAAAGGGATACACGGAAGCTGATGGAGGTGACTTAGGAGATGTGCACCCTTCCCTGACCAGGGGGCGTGGGGGCCAGGCGGTGCCCTGGTTGGTCCGTGGCGCAGGATGGTGCACACACGGCCCTCACAGCCTGCTCAGTATCAGAGGTGGGGGCCACCTCCTCCACTCATCCCATTGGGTCTGCCCAGAGCTGCTCCCTGTGACCGCTTTGTTTCCCTGAAAACCCCATTTCTTTCAAAGAGGCACTGAAGTGTAGTGAGCAGAGTGAGGACCCTGGCGTCAGGGTCTGGATTCAAATCCTGCCCAGCTAGTGAGCAGGTGTGTGGTTTCCCTGTAAAATGGGTACAATTATCGTAACACCTACCCCACAGGGCAGGTCATATTTAGAACAGTACTCGGCACACACTAGGTGCCCAATAAACATTAGCTATTATTTTATTGCAAAGGCATTTGGGGTCTCTTCCAGCAGACCTCGGCGCCCCCCCAAAGAGCACCAGAGTGTTTGGCTCATGCAAACTCTAGCCAGCCAGACAAGGGACTGGACCCTTTGGGGTGTTACCAGTGCACCTGGCACCATGCCTCACAAGGTCATTTCATGCCACATTCACAGGCCTCTGAAGCATGAATGTTGCTCTCATACCTACTGGACAGGTGGGAAGACGGGGCTCAGAGCAATTTGAAATGTAATTCCTGCTGCTGTGTTTGACCCTTCAGTTTCCCGTTTGCTTCAGGATAAAGTCCCATATCCTTACCATGGCGTGTGAAATCCTCTGTAATCTGGTTCGATCCCACCCCCGCTCACCCCTGCTCACTCGTGGCATTCCTACCTTGTTGACCTGTTCTTCGTCCACACCACAGACTCACCTGCTTCAGGGCCTTTGTGCAGTTTTCCACTCCCTTTTTGGCTGAAATAATTCCTATTCAGCTCTCAACTTGTGCTTCTCCAGAGAAGCCTTCCCAGGATCCCTTAGCCTCGATCAGCCCCACCGATGCATAGGCTTCCACAGCACCTCGTGGGCCTCCTTCACAGCACCTCTTACAGCTGCAACTACTCAGCTCTGTGCGTGGTTCACTTTACTGGGTGCAAGACTCACGGGGGAGGGTGGGCAGAATGGGCCGGGCTACACAACAGAAACGCAAATCCCAGATGTCTCGTTTTTCTCTCGTGCTGCCTGTCCCCCGGGGGTCAGCAAATCCCTCTGCCCCATCTGGTCCCTCAGGATCCAAAGCCTGGAGGCTTCAGTGCCTGCGACTGTCCCGTCGAGGGCACCAGCCTTGCCAGTGGCTGTCAGGAGAGAGCCTGGAGAACTGTGAGCGCGTGCCTGCTGCTTGGCTTCACACACTGGGCAACTGCTAGGGGGACTGGGAGACTCAGGGAAGCGAGTGGAGTGTCTGACCTGCCAGAGACCTCATCCAACTGCTCCCTTGTGTGTTCCCCACACCTAGTGCGTTGGCACATCGTGGGAGACCCCCAGATTCTGAGGAACAAATGATGCTGCGGTGCAAGTTGGCCAAGATCACCCACGGAGCACACAGCGGTGAGCTGGGCTTCCACTCCTGTCCCCCCGGTTTCAAAATCTTTGGCCTTTGCACTACACCTTGCTGCCCGGGTTCATGGAATGCTTTTTTTCCTCTGTACGTAGAGAGCAGCGTATGGTGCATTTAGACAATAGATTTGTTTTTCCTGATGAAGGTGATGAAAGTTTCATGTCCTCCAATCAGCCTTGCAATCAGCCATTCAGCCACTCACTCAAGACAAGGGGCGATTCAAATGCAACAAACATGTCCTAAGTGCCCACTGTTTGCCGGGCATGGTAGCACACTAATGTGTGGAGGGAGCGGTGTGTCTCCTGGGCTGATGCTCCGAGTGAAGCCTGGATTCAGAGGCAGGGTTGCTGGCTCTGAGCCCAGCACCTCTCCGCTGCTGCAGCCCGTGGTGCCCACGCTACAGAGCACACGTCAGGATCACCTGGAAGAGGCCTGGGCATGCGGACTGCGAGGCTCCACTCCCAGGGTCTCCAACTCTAGGATGTGGGTGGGGCCTGAGAATCTGTGTTTTTAATGAACTCCAGGTGAGCCACATTGCAGGGTCAACGTGTGCAGCGTGAGCCCCACGCCCTGCAGTGGTTACAGGTGGGGAGTGGGGGCGTGCATTTCCCCCCTTAACCCGGCTCAGGTGTCCTGGCCCGGGGAGGTGGGATGAGCACAGAACAGCCCAGTGGCTGGGATTTGGTTCTTCTCTGTGAGGCCGTCTGTAGTCCAAGTGCATAAAATGAGGGGGTTGGACCGGATGAGCTCTGGGGTGCTCTGCAGATCTGACATCCTAGATTCTAGGATTGGATGAACTACGCCAGGCTACAGATTCCATCTAAGTGTCCTCCTAGGTGGGAAGTGCTACAGACTAAGCCGTGTAAGGGGAGTGCCCAGGGGAGGCGCGGGGCTGTGCAGCGCAGTGCAGGCTCTGGGGAGCCTGGACACACATAGGTGCGACCCTGCTGAGCATGGCCCTTGCAGCCAGCCTGGAAACACAAGCTTAAGACAAGACAAACGTATCAGGAAATAACCAAGTGCTAATCGGCCTGAGGCTGTTTTGGGGCCACTGGCAGGGTTGGGAAGCCCCAGGGAGGGGGAATGCCTACCAGTTTGACGGTGACCTGTAAGTCATGTCTGTGGGGCCGCAGGGCACGCTGACCTGCATGAGCCCCACAACCTGGGCTGAAGTGGGTATTTTAAGGATGAAAAAATGCAGTCAGAGACCCACCCAAAGTCAACTTTAATTCAGTTGGGTTTAAACCCAGGTCTGAGGATAACAAAGCCCATGTTCTTCAAAACGATTCAGCGGGAGGAGCATGGGTTGGCATGGGCAAAGCCCACAAGGTGCCCCTGTCCGGGCCATATGGAGTGTCCTGAGATGACGTGGCAGAGCAGGCTGGCAGGGTGAGGTGTGTGCCAGCTCGGCAGATGCGAGAAGCTCTCCTGGGGCAGCACTGAAGGGCATGGAGTGGCAACAAGAAGGGTTTTGTACTGCTGATGTCACAGAGACGCTGGTGGCAGTGCCAGGGTCCAGAGAGAGCTGGGCCTGTGGTACAGCTACTCACATCCTGGAGGTCTGGGTCGCCACTGCCTCTCTGCAGGCCACTGATGGGCCGTGCAACATCTTTGCATGAATTGGGAGAAAGCATATCTTCCTTCAAAAAGTTGCAGTTGGCATCAAGTCACCGAGGGTGGGACTGGACCCTGTCCCTAAGTGCCCCTTTGAACTTGTCGAGTGACCAGTGTGTACAACTGCATCTGGTACCCTTGCCTCCCTCCCACCACACGCACACACACACATATGCACACGCACATTAGTACGCTCTTCTTGCCCACGGAATCCACTTCCCTGGGGGGAGCCGAACCCCGTGACTTCTGGCCGCTTCCTCCGGCCTCCCCAACAGTCCTTCTAACTGAATGCCCCCAGGAGGGCCCGCTGGCTGGGCTGGCAGCAGCTGTGAGAATAAAATCCACAAGGTCACGGGAAGCAGAGATGCCGCACATGACTCTGAGGATGGAGTGGCAGGGGAGGAATGTGGGGGGAGGCCTGTCAAGGGCAGACAAGGCTTAGAGGCGCCCCACCCCCATCAAGCCGCTAACACGGAATACAACGCTCAGGTCTCTATTACCAAAAAAAGAAAAAAAAAAACGGTAGCAGCGGCTGAAGAGAGGGGGCCCGTGTGAGGGGAGAGGAGAGAGCTGCTCTGAAATCAATACCGGCCAGGACAAGCATTATCCCGTGTGGAACACCTCAAGCCTCTGCCTGGAAAATTTGATTGGATCTTCAGAAAAACCTATTAGTGTGTTGTCAGGACCTTCTGGTGATAACTGACCAGCTCTCGCCAATCGATGCTCTTCACTGGTGGAGCTCCTGATTTTTAACAGCATAATTGTTTTTTTTAATAACGGGCCGGCTCACCCACTCCAGCAGGCAGGGAGGCGAAGTGAGACTCCCAACGTAAAGAACAGAGAGACACGAAGCGCCAGCCACTTCTTCCTAACTGCACAACTGCTCGACGGGGCGGCGGGGACGGAACACGGTGGTGGTGGGGGGGGGCAAGGTTTTTCCCAGCTAAGCCGGGTTGTTAAGAAAAGTCACAGAAGTAATTACACAAGTCAAAATTGTTTACGAAATGAAATCCATTCTTCACCAAGGAACCTTTATTTATTTTTAAAGAAAAAAGGCCAAAATTGGATGAGCTCAGCACGGCAAGGACACCATAAAGCTACAGCGGAATTAGTGGCCAATTGTTACAGCGTTTTAATTTTCAGCTCAGAAGCTGGCAACGCAGGTATTTGGGGTGTAAAAGCACTGCAGCGACAGCCGTCTTTCTGCTCTTTGCCTTGCATCTGAGACGTCAAAGTACTTCACAAACAAAACAAATAACTGGAAACAATTTGGGACTGAGGCTCTTATAGATGGAGAGCAGGGCCCCGGGAGGAAGCAATCTGCCCAAGGTCACGGGCTGAATCAGAGGCACAGCTGGAAACGCGAGTCCTGAATGCTGGCTCCTGGGGTGGAAGCTCATCACTACCATCCTGCCCTGCTCCCACACACACCAAAGCAAAACCCCAAAGCCGGACAGACGGGAAGCCGGGCAAGCAGGTCAGATCTCTTGCAGACTACCGTGGCTGAACCCAGGAGAATCAGTCACTAAGGAGCGTTTAGGGAGTTCTGTGCATCTGTGAGGCGCTCCATCCTGAGTGCTCGGGAGTATTGCTCAGATTCTTGCAAAGTGGCAGCCTTGCAGGAGGGCTTGATGGCTCATGCAACAGTCCTCTGCCCCTGGCAGGCCGGACTGACTCCCTCCAGAAGGTCGGGGTGCAAGATTCAGAGGAGGAGGGGAGACAGAGCAGGAGAGGGTGGGGGAAAGAGGAAAGAAAATCGAGAAGAGAGGGAGGGGACTGTTTTAGGGTGTGGGCGGGCTGGAGGCCCTCTTCAGTGAGACTCCCAAACTCTTATCAGATTCAGATGCGTTACAGTCCCACGCCGAGCACAGTTTATAAGGGACATTTACCAGCTCGGTTTGGTTGCAGTTTGCTGGTTGACAATGTGATGGTTTCGTAGATATTTAATTAAACAGCGAGTAGCTTTGATTTTACGATTTTCTTCTGTGGATCTGGAAGCCCCTGTTAATTTCTTTCCAGGCCTCAAGTGTGTTCACAGGCCCTTGAAACGTTCAGAGAACCTAGGCATCCTGAATGCCGTCCTTCCTGGGTAAAACAGCCCACAGAGATGGAAGGAGGGAGAGGTGGGGAAAAAACCATGTGGACCAGGAATCAACACCAAACCGAGGCAGAAACCTAACAAAGCAGGACAGAGTTCCAGGCACTGGAGGGTTGCTGGTTACAAAGAGGAAAGCAGGCCTCACTAGCACATTTCCAGGGAAGAGACGGATGATGAAGACCAAGCCAACCACAGATGGAAAAAAAAAACCAACCCTCTCCCTTATTATTCAAATAACTTATTGAGCCCAGGGCCAGATGCCATGCTGGGCTTTGGAGACACGGGGCTGATCAGAGACGGTCTCTGCTCAGGGAATTCACTGCTTCATGGAGGGAGACAGAAAGGTAAACAAACCATTCAAACATGTGATAAAGACACAGATCAGGTAAGGTGGGAGGTTGGGGAGGCTGAGGAGGAACCGGGAGTTGAGAAGGGCACCCCCCAGTTCAAAGGCACAGAGGTGTGAGCAGTAGTGAAATGGACTTGAATTTGGGCGGGTGGGGGAGTCACAGGGTGAGAATGGATGGCCGATTGGAGTCATAGCAGACTTGCGGGGGGCGGGGTGGGGAGAAGGGGGTTTGCCTGGGCTCTGCAGCCAAAGAAGTCAACCAAGAGTGGTTTCCAAGTGTGCAAGGACCCAGCTGATGTCAGTTTAGTGATGGGGCCCAGAGCAGAGGCTGGGGAAACCCGAGAAGAGGCTGTTACTTTCCTGTGGTTGAAGGGAAAGGGCCTGGACTAGGCAGGGGGCATGGAAAGGATGAGTTGGGTCAAGCTGGAGAGGCGTTTGGGGGCAGCGCTCAGGACAAGGAAGCGGCTGGAAGGACTCCCAGGGCTCCAGCTGGAGTGACCAATGATGCTGTGAACCGGGAGGAGCAGGTGTGTGGGCCCTCCATCTCCCCAGAGCCTCGGGATCCTGGGCAGGGGCCGTGCTGGAGGGGATGACGTGATGGGGCAGTGTGACAATGCGGAGCTGCCGGGAAACCCCTTAGGAGGCAGGGAGAGTAGGGAAGTGGGGAGTTGCTGGCGAATAATGAGCTGCTTTCTGGGCACTCCCGGCCAAGACAGAAACACAACCCAGAGGCCTAACCCTAGAAATCTGTTCATTCGGTCTCAGAAGAAAGGGGCTTGACATCTAGGGACCTAGCGGGACGTGGCAGGTGCTGCCCAGGCTGTGCTGGATGCAGGACTGGGGCTCCCACTGTGATTCATGGTTGAAGGGAGTTTGCTGCAGTTTGCTAATGAAAGTTGCCAGCCTACCCAGAAGTCTGTCTTCTTCCTGGCTGTGGCAACATGTCCTGCACAACAGCTGGGGTGGTCGTGGGCTTGGATGGGGACCCAGGCATCTATCAACTGCAGCAAATTCACTGGGTTCAACGCCTGTCACCCAGCACTGACCCTTTCCTACTGGAGGAAGTGATGAACTAGAAATAAATGCCATTTGAGGCTGACGCTAAGCAAATCTGTGATCATGGACTTTCCAGGCCATCGCTTCGGTCAGGGCTTCCAGAGGGACACCGCAGCGTGAAGTTGCCCAGCCTGAAAGATCAGGGCTGGTTTGATTCCCGTGGTTGGGGAGGTGGCCAGGGCCCTCTGTGCTGCTGGCAACTGCCTTTCTTTGCCCGTCTTTGAAGCTGGCAAAGGGAAGACAAACGAGGGCTCTCTGGTTTGGGGACGGCATGAATGAACCACACACGTCCATGAATAAACCAGAAGCCCTCCGAGCACGCCGCTCATTTGTTCACACAAAAGCCAGGCTGGACGAGCCATGTTCATGGCTGGACCCTTGATTCGTTGTGAGCGTTCGATGAGACTCTGAGTGGTGAGAGTCCGGGAGCAGGAAGCCAGCAGAGCCCGAGTGTCCCCTTCGCCCTTCCGGCTTCTGTGGCCGCCTGGCTGGGCTCGCCTGGGTTTGTCGTCAACAGACTCCTGGCTCGCCTCTGAGCCTCCTCATCATTGAAAACGACTTCAGCTTAAGACTGGCAGGATGATTGTTAAAAACAGCCCTGGCATTAATCACAGCTTAAGAGCTTTTGGAAAATGATTCTAATTCAGAAGGGGTGGCTTACAAAGGGGCCTGTCGAAAGTGAAGCACACATCAATTTCTGAAAGGCAAAAAGCCTCCTTGTTACCCACACCTGGCTTCTTCTGAAATCTGGCTGGCAGAGGCATTTGGGGGGGCCAGCTCACCCCACCAGCTCACCCCAGCTGAGACCACCTCAGGTTTCCCATGAGTCCCACGGCAACCCTTCCCCTGACCTGGGGCCCTTGAGATGGGAAAGATCTCAGGGAGGGCCACAGCCACAATTACTAGCAGCCCTTGGGGTAAGGAAGAGGAGACCGGGAGCCCCAAATCGCCAACAGTTGGAACGCCTCCGACCCGTGCTAATAAGCTGTGCGCACAGAGGCAGCCGTGTGGGAGAACACACGGCCAGCGTTTGCAAGGGGCCAGGCAGGGCGGCGAGCTACCGCTACTGCCTTTTGCCTGCCTGGCACAACAAAGGAGAATGATTTTTGCCGTCAGCACTCTCCCTATCACGGAATCATTGCAGTTTAGTATGATTAATGGGTTCCATTTAGGGGAAGCTGAGAATGAAAACAGTGGGGGAGTGTGTGGCTGTGGCTAGAGCGGAAGCACGAGGGCTGTGGCCCGGCTGCCGGTCCTGCCCAGCACACTGGAAGGCACGCTGGGGCAAAGGGCCGCAGGGCTTTGGACGTGCATCTGCAGAGACCGCCTGAGGGCTGCGTCCGTGTGCGCCACTGTTGGCCATCCTGCCGCCCTGCGAACCTTGGTGACTGAGCCTCCACGCCCTCTTAACCTGCCCAAGGGCGATTCACCCCCAGGGGCTGCTAACTAAGGGCTGGGCTGTGAGCCGCCCGTACCACTTCTCAGCAGTCCTGACAGCCACGTGGGGCGGGGAAGGGCCCCACGTCTGGGCTAGGACGGTGGTGGCCTCCGGCGCAGCCCCCTCTGGGTCTGGGGCCCCTGGGCTGGTGGTCCTCGTCTCAGCAGTTGCGGGCTGGCTCTCCTGGGGGTTCCTCCCCACTCGGCAGCATCCTCTTCCTTCCACTTCTGCGGGCACCGCTGCTTGTCAGAGCTCACGGCTGCTGGGGTCGAGTGGCAAGGCAGCAGCCGCCGCAGCCAGGGACTTGCGGGTGCCGGGAGGAGCCAGCCTGGGAGACGCAGGGTCCAGCAGGGCCCGAATTGCATTTTTTGAAGCAATAGCCTTTTACTGTAACTGAAGCCAGAAAGGGAGAAAGTTGGTGCTCTTGGCTGGGTGGGGCATGGCTCAAGACCTTTCCTGATGCACTGGTGTCTTCGCAGGGAAATCTGTTATTTCCCGTACACTGTCTTAAGCATCTCCTGGGCTGTTTTTCTGGCGGTGTTAAGAATCAAGCCATCACGAACAGCTGTGAATGTCACACTCTCAGCAGCGGCAGCAATGGGCGTTGGCAGGGAAGGAGAGCAGAGAGCTCAAGCGGAGGACGTTTCAGTCGACAGCAATGGCGTTTCCCCTTCCTTGTCCAAACGATAAAAGATTCATGCTCCTAATTGCAGCACTATAGCTGCCCCCATCACTTTATTCTGGGAGAGGAGGTTAGAGAAAACAGGCCTAGAGAGAGGGGAAGAGAGAAAAAGAGAGGGGGAGGGTGATTTCATCACTAGCTAACAAGAGACCAGTGCCCGGTTCGTGCTGAAGACTGCTTCCCACAGCGGTGCTCGTAGATGAGGTCGGCTGCATCCGGGCAAACTGCATCTGTGGACTGGCTAGACTCGAGCTTGCCAGCATCCGTGGAAAGTTTAAACGACGAAATACACAACCACAGAGAAAACAAACCGAAAAGAGTAATAAAGTCACACATTTCAATACTCAGCAACCATTAAGGGATTTAAATATTTGCCTGCTTTTAAAGGCTTGCACTGGGCTCCTCCAACACCAGCTCGGAAAGACTGAAATATCAATTACGGATCAATTTTCCCCCTAAGTAAACACTAATGTGGGATAAACAGTATTAGAAGATGCAATCGTAACACTGCTGACTTCAGGATGGACTTCCTGCTGGTAACAGCAAGTTTAAGCCTGGTGATTGATTAACCCGAGAAGGCAGCACTTAGGAAGGTTTAAGGTGGCTGTGTCCGCAGGACGACTGGACCAGTGCCTGTCCAGGGGACGGCCGGACAGTCCTGGGCCCAGAGCCGCTGTCCGTATGGAACCTCAGTCACAGGCCTCACCCTCCCAGGAATCGCCACCCCACAGCTCAACACCTCAGAGGACGAGGGGGCAGCAAAATGGGAATCAAAAGTGGGTGTGGGGGAGAAAAAGCGGCCGCCTTGAGCTGGTTCGCTTGTTGGCGTTAATTCTGTATTGAAATATACCGAGGCCTACGTTGCATTTCCCAGCAGTAGCCACCAGGGGCAGTAGACATTTTATGTTTACTTTGGAGGGAAAAATGGAAAAACAGAACTTCCTGTGTTCATAGGAGCTGAGAACCCGAGGGCTGGAAAACTAGAGAACAGGACCGTTGCCTTCAAGTCTCAGTTTTGGGGTACTCACATCACCATTGTGCCTAACACCTTTCTGGCACTGACGCAGGGGCACCGAATACCGCCTCCAAGGGAGGCACACCCCACAATTTTGAGATGATTACAAACCAGGTAAGAAACACGGTTTGAATCTTCCTAAAGGCCAAACCTCACTCTGAAGGTCCTTCACAATGTAGCTGGTGTTGGCGAGGCTTTGCTTAGCGGTCACCAAAGATGCCACTCCCCCCAGGGAAGAGGAGATCAGCCCCGCAGCTCCTGGGGATGAGGGGGTGCACAGCCCTGAACTCGGGGGCTGGTCCAGCCCGTTTCTTCAAGGCCAACCTGAGAGCTCCCTGTACTGAGCACAGACTTATAAATGTCAGGGTTTAGGACACAGAATTGCTGACCTGTTCAGACTATGTACAAAGTAGACTCGCACGGCTGGCGTCCCTGTAATGCACCGACCACTGCCTGCTGGGTGCCTACCACTGACTTTAATGTAACGGCCCTCAAGCATCCTGGTCTCCCGGGTGGTGGCCGAGAGACCCCCTTTCCTCCTCCTGTACAGTGGGCTAGGACATCCAGGTGCTTTGTTCTGGAAATATCTCCAAACTATGTGTGTGGCAGGGGGTACAAATGTCCCTTGGAAGCAGTGTGGCAGCCGGTTCTTCTAAGGGCTGAGTACTTGCCTTCCTGGCAAACAGGAGTGAGTATAAATAATTCCTTATGGAACGAAATGCCTTCTCTTAAGCAGGGCATTTCTACCTGTGACTGTGTGGCTGCCTAAAGGTTCTGGACGACAGAATCGAAGGACCATTTCTCCACGGACTGAGTCCAGAGCAGTACAAGAATTCCATCTCGAGTAGACACAGGACAGTGAAAGATGGCACCAATTAACACCCGAGTGTCACCTCGGGGTTCCAGCCGATGTACTCGGAGAATGCAAGCAGGCCAAACATTCGTGCAGGCTCTCTGGAGGAAACGAGGGCCATTTTCACTGCTGTACCGAACGAAGGCACCGGCGACTTACCCCGCAGTCACCCACTCTGCTCCGCGGCTGCTCCTGGCGCTTCCTCGTCTGCATGCCCTGTGGGACTCAAAACAGCAACTGTGTGCAGGTCGCCCTCCTGTCTGCCCCAGTTCAGTGAACTTTCTGGTGTCCCTTCTTTGTAGGCTGCAGCTGAGCAGGGCCCTCAGGCTACAGACGAGGGAGAGGGCCAGGGACTCTATGCCCGTGCACGGTGCCATGTGGCCTGGAATAAATAAATAACGGATGGAGGAGGAAGAGGTTGTTAAGCATCCCAGGGCAGGCTTACAAGGGCGTGAGTGTCCACATGCACAGGAACCTGGACAGCCCCCTTCACTGGAGCAGTGACCCCTTGCTGGTGGCCATGGCTCGCTCTACAGCACCCTTTGGCTCGGCCCCATGTGAGGACTAGTGGGCATGCTTACCTTGGGGCTGAACACTCCCTGCTTACCTCCTTTCTCTCTCCTGTGACCACACCTAAGGTGATCCCTACCTTACAGGGCAGGAGGCCAAGGCCAGGCAGGACCCAGGCAGGCTCGCAGCCCTTCCCCTGATCTCTGTCCTCTGTCCCCTGGAGAGGTCTTCTCAGAGAACTCTGGTGGATTAGCCCTGCCTGCCTGCTGCCCCTGCCCTCGAAGAGCCCAGGTGAGACCCCCGAATCCCAGCTCCTCTGCCTGGAACTTTGAGAAGCTGGGCCACCCCCACGCTCCACCTCATCTGCTTCCTGCTCGCCTGGCAACGTGGCAGCCTGGCTGGCGGGGGGCCCTCCACCTCGGGCTCCCATCCGCTCCCCACAGCACCGTCATGGCAGGTCCAGCTGGAGTCCCAGCTCGTCCAGGAAGCTGTCTGGACTCTCTGGCTACCTCTGCTGTGGCCCTCCTGGCCGGGGACCGCTTCCCGTTTTCATGTGGGTGTAACCGAGGCCCCGGTTGGTCTCCAGACTGTGGGTTTCTCACCAGGCTGAACACACTCAGGAACCCAAAATTGTATATGTGATTAGCTGATTTTTATAGAGAAAGGTGAGAGCAGGCTGGCATGGAAGAGGCTGACGTGAGGCGCACACTTACCTTTCCTTCCGCTGCTAAGCTTTCCCCATTTCCTGCCCGAGGGAGAGAGAAGGGAGCTCAACCACAGCTGGGTACGTGGTGGGCAATGGGCCTGCGCAGTACCGCCCGGGCGTCGCAGGACCAGCCACTGTGAACCGGCCCCTGCCCGCTCTGGCCTGCAAGGCAAGGGGGAGGATGACAGACTGAACCCTGCTGCCCCCCAGGCCTGGAGGTCTCAGCAGCCTGAACAGCAGATGAGCGGGGGCGGTCCGCAGGTGGCCGGGCCAGGCTTCGCGTCCTGCTGTCCTTTCGTTAAAGGAGAGAGAACTTGAAATGGAGAAGGTGGAATGAGCTGTGAAGACGCGGAATCTCAACGCAGAGACAGGTGGAGCGGCCGACACAGGCAGCTGGTGGGGGTGGCGAGGGAAGAGAGGGGAGCTGGGGCAGGAGACGAATCCAGGGGAGGCCGGTCCCAGCTGCCCGCCCCGCAGCCCGCACGCCTGCTCAGATCGCCGACTCCACGCAGCGAGGGCACCGGGCCCACCTGTCCACCCAGGGGGAAGAGAACAAGGACAGGGTGAGCAGAGGAGAGAGCAGCCCGAGGGAACCGCGCTGCCCAGCGCCCGCTGCCCGCTCCTGCCCGGCCAGGGCTGGGGGAGGAGGCCGGCCGGCGCCCATCCCGCTCACGGAAGAAGTCCATAATGAGATGAAAGGGTCGCTTTGTAACATTAATTTTTTTTTTATTAAGAAGACAGATATTTTATAGTACTTCTTTTTTTTTTCTTTTTTTTTTGTAAAAATGGTATACATTAACCAATACAAAATGCGAATGGGAACATATGGATATGGAGATTCTTACACCGTTAACATTGTTCATGTACACCTTAAAACAGAACTGGCCTAAAGGGAGGAGTAAGACGTCGGTGTGACTAAAGAACAAGCTTATTTGGCATCAATTATACATCCTTCATTATTTTATAGTCCTTTAAAAAACACAAAAAACAAGTTTGTTCTTTCTTCACTCTAAAAAAAGTGATCAACCTGTACAAAGTAATACTCAACAATACATTTCAAACAGTGCACTTATACTTAAGAAAAAATACATAAACCAATATACAACTAAAATCCATAATTTCCTGTTTTTGCTTTATTATTATTATTTTTTCCAATGCATGGGGCCTACACTTTGCAATCTACCTGAGACGGAAAACACTGATTGGAACACACATGGACCTGAGACATGTCAACACCGTAAAAGCCATAAAGTTACACCAGGGAGACGGCACTACTGTACACTTGTCAGAACAGAAGGGCGGGGGTCCCGACGGGAGGTGCCGACTGAGCGATGACGGGGTCAGCGGAAAAAAGGGAGTGGAAAACACCGCCTCGCAACCTGCTCAACGGGCTCGCCTGCGGTGTGGTCGCACTGCGGTCGGAAGGGTGCCAAGGGCTCGGGACAGAGCCGCGCGTTATGAGGCTCATCGGAAAAGGGACGCGCGGGGCTTTTTAGTGCCTAAGGACAGGAGAGGGGACGACAGAGCGCTGCTCGGCATGGATTTTCCTTCACATACCAGTCCGTTCCCAAAAGGCCCCTGTATTGCAATGGTTCTATCAAAGGTTAAAATAAAGACAAGAAAAATAAACACACTTTCAAATAACAAAGAGTTGATACTTTTTCCCCCTTAAATAAATCTGCTTAAATTTTCCACATAATGTAACAATAGTAAAAATGCACCTTGCAAAATCCAAAATTACTCACTGAAAATGTTATATAATATATATTTATATATATATATAGATCTATCTTTTTTGATGCCATCTTTCCATAGGGACTGTATTCTGGAGTCTGGAGCCTTACCAAGACACCTGGTAAGAGTCCCGTTTTTGTCCTTTGGGGACGATTGCTCGATTACCTAGATGTGTCAGGGAAAATCCCCACATTTCTTTACTGAAGATGGAAATGGTAAGTGGACTTCTCTACCTTTCCCCAAGGCTCCCCATCGAAGATATGTTTGCGGTGACTTATTTTAGTAGCTATGCGCTCTGGCAGCCGTCATGCGAGGGTCACTAAGTTTTTTGGCAGATGGTTCTTAAGGCTGAGGAAAGAGGCCAAGGCTAGTGTATGAAAGGTTAAAAAGATAGAAACACTCACATTTGAGTTTTGATTAAGTAACTGAAAATCCCTACATGCCATTTCTCCACGTCTGCCTGACCTTCTGAGAACCAAGATCGACAGCAGACCAGCGTGAGAATCACACTGGCCCTTCTCTCTGCCTCCTGCCTTCGTCAAGCCCAGTCTGAAGGAGTGAAAGTTTCACATGGATTCGAATTGGAAATCCCAGCACGACAAATATCTGTAATATACAGTACATGCAGGCCACACCCTACCGTCTTCCTAACCAAGCCCAGAGGAAAGAAACACCTGTCCCATCCAGTCACCCGCACACCACACGGACGCTGTCTCCTACATCAGTGCGAAGTAAGGCCAATTGGGAAAGGTGGATGGAATCATTTGGGACAGAAATAACCAGAGCAGAACTGTCTTTCCCCCCTCCTGACTTCCCCTCCTGTGGCAACTCTAATTTGCCCACTTATAGAAAAGGAACAGACCTCACCTGTCAGGTCTGTTTAGGGCAGTGAGAAAGGAGGAGCCCTTTCCGCCCCAAACCTTTCTGGACAATGTGGGGTATCTACACTGAGCCGTCTACAGATACAGAATTAAGGACAGGTCCAATCTCATTGTGACACACCTCACTTGCAGATAACCCTGTACAGCAATGTAGTTCCACAGCAAACAGAACATTTTCTGAATCACAGTCTAAGTTTCTAGTCTTCACTGCTCTAAGTATTTGAAACATGGGCAGCAGCAAAGAGTTCTCATTGTTCACCCAAATCTTTACGACAACAGAGAGGAATGCATTATGGATACACTAAATTCCGAACTATGAAATCTAAACTGTGCTGGTTCTCCTTGTATGAAACTGAATTTTGAACAGAAAGGTATTACTTTAAAAGGAAACAAACAAACAAAATAAAACAGAATAAGGTGAAAAAGGTTCTAAGGAATCCCAGCAGGCAAATTCCAAAATGGGAGATTCTGGAAAAAAAGTCTAAAAATTTTTGGGAAAAATAAAGGTGCACAAAGAGGGGGAAAAGAAAAAGGGAACACAACAAACAAAAAACAAGGCACAGAATTTTCTGGAATCTATCCAAACTAAACCCAAGCATCCAAGTTGGACTTGGCAGGAAGAAATAAAAATTTAAAAAACAAACAAAAAGAAAGAGGTGTCAAACAGCAGAGTGTACTTTTCAAAGAACATTTTTTACACAGCAAACCCCAAGCCTTCCCAATCTCGCACCGTTCCACCCATTCATTAAAAAAACACACGGATTTCTCGCAATTCCAATATCACTGTCTCTTTATCGTCTACATAGGGCCGGCTGGACACCTCATGGGGACAGAAAGGCTGAGGCTGCTCTAGATGAAGTACTCTTTCTTTTCTTCCGAGTTGTTCTGTCCTCCTTCGGCATTGATTATAGCCGTGTCTGCGTCTGCCGCGTCGTCGGCTCCCTTGGCTTCATGAGTGAAGTATGTACCTGAAAGATGAAGGGGTAAAGCACCGTGACTGTCTGATGGCCTCTGTGGGAAGCGGCACAGAGATGGCGACTTGCTTTATGGCCGTCATCAGCCGAAGTAGTGTGCAGGCAGCAGAGGGGAAAAAACAATTGGAAGGAGAGAGCGAGGCGGGAGAGACAAATGGGGATCCGGGGTTCCGAAGGCACCGCTCCAGCTGAGCCGCTGCGATGTAATTCAGCAAACAAGACATTAGAGCGGTGATCGTGACCAGAGGGTGTCAGCGGAGGGAGACGCGAGTGGGGGCTACAACGCAGAAAGCCGGAGAGCTGCTCACTAACGCCATGGACGACGACCAGGGATGTGCACGGCCGTGGTTAAGGACCAAAGTAAGGAAGAGCAATTAGCCAGGTGATGAATCAGGGCCCCGGTGACACTCTACTGCTGCCTGGACTCATTTATCTGAGCCCTGCCCTCCCGTCTTCATGCATCATACTGCCTGTCGGGAAACAAGGAGGTGTGGTTTTCTTCTGCCTCCATCTCAGAGGGGGGCTCCAGAGACAGAAATAATTTGATATTCTAACAGCTGTGATCAAAGCTTCGGGTCTGTCTGAAGGAATGAGAGATTCTCGCTCACAGTGCGACTCTAGCTCGGACCCGGATTCATGGCTTTGCCAACTGGCACAGCCACTTTGTAATGACAACAGAGGGTTACGTAGTTGGTGACACTCTTATCTTGTCAGGAAGTCCCAACAGTTTACACGGAGAAAGACAGGCCTGGACCTCAGCATGATATACAGGTAGCACTTAAACTGCCTACCAAATCCAATGACCCTCCTCCCATTACATACTGTGACCTCAGAGAGTCTTAAGTTAAACAGACAGCTGACACATCTGCTCTGTGTTCAGGTTCTCAGAGTGACACAACTGAGGCGGTGGGCAGGCCAACGTTCCCTCCCGCACCCTCTTACCCTGTCCACCGCAGCTGTGCCCAGACTCCAGCCCTGCTCTCTGGCCACACCTTCCTGCTCCACGGAGCTCGACACCACGGGCCTGGAGTTCTGGCCAAGCAGACTGCCTCCCGGGCACGGGCGGAAGCAGGCACAGCGCTGGGGGTCCCGACCATCTTACTCTCAAGACAGGCACTTTGGACCCTAAAGGTGGTTGGTACAAGGACCCCTACTTTTGTGCTCAAGGGACCTTCCGCGACCGCCATAAACCGGAGATGCACAATCAGCAGTACGCAGCGCCTAGACTGAGCCACGGGAAAGCCCCACGGCTCGTGGCACAGTGCTTGAAAAGCATGACTGAGGAAGACAAGGGCCGAGGAGAAGCAAGAGTAAATTAGCAAGAGGGGAGACAGGCTAGAGCAGCAGGGGCAGAGAGGAGGCGGGGAAGACGATCGCCCGTCCAGACTGCACCGCTGCTGAGTGTGATGATTAATGGCAATTTAAATCAATTGCACCGATAATTTTAGAAATACATATTTATGTGGCTTTTAAGGCACATCAAACCAAGGATGTATTCTAGCCACTGTGACTGGCTTACCCAGAATCTGGGGCCAGGTGGCAGAATCAGTCCGCCTGCCTCCCCGAGAGCAGGCTGGAGGTGTATCCTTGCCATGCTCACTGTTTCGGGGCTCAAGCCACCTCACACACCAGCTCCCATTTTGAACTTTTCACTCTATTCCCAATCATGGATTGTAGAATAACAAGTCTATAGAGCTTTATGTTTAGAGAAAACACAAATTGAGGAGAACTATCCACTCTCAAGAGTCCTAATCAGCAGTTGCTAAGACGCCTGCTTTTCTCTCTCCCAGTCTCAGGAATCGAGCAGGCTACGTGGCCACATAAACCGATTGCAGATCAAGATCTGCCTTATCAAGTCCCCAAATGCAGGGGCTGCGGGGACACGAGGCCTCTGGCCAGAGCACCTTGCTCACCTTTATGTCTGGCAAAATAGCGCCCCAGGATGATGAGCAAGCACAGCATGGCGAACACCACGACGGCCACGACGCCGCCGATCACCGCGTGGTCCACCGCCCTGATGGAGCCCTCCTCGCCTGCCCGGGAGTCTGTCGGAAGCAGAAGAGAACAGGGATGTAGTGCTCATTACCAGGCACCAGGAGGCCCGGGGACACCGCCTCCAGGCTCAGAAGCCCCCTTTTCTAAAGGCGAGAACAACCCAGATGGGTCAAGTCACATGAAGGAAGAGACTGACCTGTCCGGAGCTGCACTGGCCTTCCCTCCCCACAGGCAGTTTCGTTATAAGCAGCACAGGAGCGCTAATGCACGTGGACAAGCTGGGGGAGCAGGGGCAGAAGAAACAGCCTGTCCAGTCCTGACCTGGTGTTGGCACTCCCTCTGTGTCCAGCTGCAGGGCCTCCTAAGGAGGTCAACCCACCTGACTAGTGAGGGGAGCTGGGAACGGCACCCTCAGGCAGGAACAGCCTTGGAGGGGAGGCTGAGCGTCCCAGGGACTTATTTCCTATACATGCCCAGGACTTCTTCCCTGCCAGGTGCGGGCAGAGGAAAAGTGAGGAGCTGAAGAGCCACGGCTGCCTGGGACTAAAACGAGGGTCATAAGACTAGAGAACAGGGACAACGCTTGCTCCATTTAGGATGTACGAGGGAGTACGCTTCAATCTAAAACCTAAAACCTATTTCAAAAAAGACAGCAAGGAATAATTGTCCATTGCCACAAATGTTTTTTATTTTATTTACTTAACACTTCATGATGCAATTAATTTTCCTTTATAAGCATCACTCCCTCAGGATGTCTTCTTCTGACTGAGGAACATGATTGGCTGGGGAACAGCTCCAAGACGAACCCAGAATGAGCTACGGCGATGTAGGATGGATGTGCGGCAGCGTAAACAATTTTAATTTAGGAATGTGGCTACATCACCTCTTGCTGAAATCCTAACGGCACCCGAGATTTATAATGTAGTAAAAAGCAATTATTCTCCCGTTGATTAATACATTAACATTTTGGAGTGGAAGCTAAACCATTGTCCTTTTTTTATTGAGTTAAGTGCGACACTTCCATTAAAATGATTTACTAGCTGTACCTTACAATTTAAGCACAGCAGCAACGGAATCGGTAAAAATCTCTTAACTTTACATGATTTGTGAAGTCATATGTGAAGGATTTACCATTTAAATCTTTCAGTACAAGAAGCACATGGCCTATAAATCTGTCCCCCTTGCAGCTGCTGGACGCCTAAGAGAAATGCATTTCACCAGGAAGACTGAGAGAGCAAATTCAAGTCAATTTTTAAGAAAGATTTATCTCTGTCTCTCTCCAAAGAACAGAGCAAATCTCTGAAGCCTCCACCTCTAATAATATTTGAAGTTTATCGATCAAGTGTACAGATCCGTGACAGCTAAAGGTAATGGTGCTCTTTTGAGCTGAAACCTGATACAACGCTTTCAGCAGGAGGGCATGATTTACACTTTCTATCGATATTTCCAATTCTGCTCTGAGATTAAGTACTGAAGGATGTGGGGAAATAACTCGTGACTGAGGGTTCCATGAAAAGTGCTTTAATTAAAGGAGTTTAAATTAAAACGTGAAGTATTTAAAGTGTTTCATTAAGTTACCTTTGAAAGGACTACAGCCACCCCCCCTCAAACCCAAACCCAAACAGAAATGCCCAATCAGAGGCAGCGGCAGGCTGCCCGGGACAACAGGCTGGTGGGACTTTAACTGGAGAACGGAGATGGGCTGGAGGCAGAGGTGCTGCAGCTGACTGCTCACTGAGTGACGGGCGAGCCTGGGCAGCAACGTCTAAGAGGCTCAACTTGAAACGGGGTGGCACAGTCTCCCTCTGCAGCCAAAGCCTTGCCTACTGCGGATGCAACAGCCTTGGGGCCTTGAATGCCGTTCCAACACGACATGCTTGTCCCTGGAAGCTGTCTCCCTTTTTGGAGACAACAGAGCCTGCTGCAGGGGGCACTGCCCTTGGACAGGGGGCATCTGCTCTACACACCGGATGCTTGCACCCCAACTGCACACTTTCAAAGCTGCTCCTGGGGAGTCAGAAGCACAGGAGAGCAAGTGGTGTTCTCCTTAGGGAGCTGTCAAAATAGGGGATCTTGCGGGAATGAGTTAGCTGATCCCCAATTACCATGAGCTTCAGGCATGTTGGCAGTAAGGGTCTTCGGGCTAACTCCAAGTGTCTCAGAACTGAGTGAGGAAGCAAAGCGACTGCAGCTACGGGGGAGCGAGGAGAGCGAGGCACGGGAGGCAGAGGGAGAAGGGAGGCCCCGGCTGGGACTGGGAGCAGAGAGAGACCTTGGGAAGCCATCCCGGGCACAGACCTGACCTGTGTGGGGCAAGGGCAACCTCATGTCCACTGTTTAAAGACTGTCTTGCCCACGCCTGGGCACAGGAACATTCTAGGAGCCCGAGAAGAGAAGCCAGAGAGCAGGGAGGGAGGGAAACGGTGACGGAAACCAGCCACCAGCCCACACAGGGCGCGGCTCGAGGATCAGCGCCTCTGGCCCAAACGCCATCCGGCCTCTGCTTCTCGTGAGCTAAGTGCCGCCCTGTCCCCGCACTCCGCCCACGGGAGCACCTGGGCCTGTTATTACCCCATCCTCAGGAAGGTGTGTGTTCTGCAGACACCCATTTACAAGGGCAATCTCTTCCATTACCTCCTGATACCCACTTCGAACAGGAAGTTTACTACCACCAGTTAATCACGAGACAGTTTTCCTGCCTTCAGTGACTGCAGATGGACACAGGAGATAACTGCCATCCCCGGGACACCACAGCTGCGAGCTCCTCATCCCCCGCCCCCCAGCTCACCAGCTCCTGTCCAGCTTGGCATCCTTTACGAAGAGCAGCGCTCTTCCCAGACCCATCTCACTCCCGTTTCCACGTGTGGGATGGGTGCGTTTGGCTGCTGGTGACTGGCCCAGAGGAGTGCAGAACATGGTGGAAGCTGGTCACCTACACCAGCTCAGAGCTGCCGGGACCTGTATGCTGGTGCCTAACCGGGGCACGAAGCGACCCAACACACTGCAGAGATGTGCTGGAGGCGGCTGCCAACTGCAGCTGCCAGGGAATACGGGCTGCCCAGAGCACAGCACCTGCGGAGTCCGTCGGCCACCCAGCCTCTCTTCTGCTCACAAAGTAGAGCTCTGGCCCATTCCTTGATAAATTACAACCTCGGGGAAGCCTGTGACTCCCTCCATCGCGCTGCTCCTCCCGCGGTGCGGGGCCTCACTCGGGCCCCGTGCACTTGTCCAGGCTCATCCTCTCTGAGTCTGACAGAGAAGGGACCCGAAGGCCAGACTAGAGCTGCACACAGCCTCTACACTGACAAGCACACACGGGCGTGTAAGGCACTTATAAGCACACCAATCTTCAGGCAAAGGCACCTCTCTTCAGTTGAGGAGGTAATGTTTCCTCCACCTCTGAGAGACTACAGTGGGCCTCGCCCTTGCTCTGTAGCAGGTGTAAGGGCATTCCTGCTTCTGGGACTCCGCTCTGCCCCGTCTTTGCCTGGCGTATGCTTCTGGCACAAAGGTTACTCCAGTCTTTTAGAACCAAGTGGGTTGGGGTGATACGCCCGCCGGGAGTGAAGCATGCCATCCAAGCCATTTCACACAGGACCTCAAGTCCCCTGGGCCCAGTCGCTCCACGAATCTGATTTTTAGGTGCACTTTGCAAATGCCAGTAAGTGTTCATGACAGGTTGCAGCACAAGCTTTCCTGCCTGTACTGTCCCTGCAGCAGCCCTATTGCTCCAAGTGTGACGTGAATTTCCGTAAGGACAGGTCAGTCATCCACTGTTTCGTATTTGTGAGTTAGCATTTCTTTCAGCAAAAGGCTGGAACAACTTGGCTCCAGGTGAGTCACAAGGTGCTCGTGGCGCGTCAGGCTGGCTGCTCTTGCTCAGGTCATAGCTTCCGCTGCTCCGGGTTTGTGTCAGCGTCTTAGAAGAAACTCCCAGACTGATGCTCCAAACTGCTGGGTTTAACCGTGGGCCGGGTGAGCTGGTTTCATCTGTTCTCCATGGACAATGGGAAGGCGGGAGTGCTACGGCAGCAGTCCCTTAGGGCCTGACCAGAGAAGCGACTGCCAGGGGACGCCTCTTTCTCTGCTTGCTTTCACTCCCCAGCTTACTTACCAGTGTCTTCATGCTGGGATCCAGCCGTCACACTGCATATGTTAGGACAGGTCCCCAGCAGATCCTGGTTTCTATGGCTATGTCACCACCTGGCGTGGGACGTGTACCATAAACAGCCATGCGACTGCCTTCCTCAAGGAGCTGTGATATGCCCAGAAGGCTCTGCTGCCCAGGCAGGGGCCCACGGGTAGTCTGGGAATGGACAGTATATCCCAGACCAGCTCCTGGCAAACGGGTGTGTTGGCAGGAGTCACGGAGCAGGGCACTCCTGCAGCGGCTGCCTGCCACCCTGCTGCCCGGGCCGCACAGCCTGGGGCTGGCCTTTTTGCCAAGACCCAAGGTTTCTACCCCCGAGGAACTGCAGTGTGGCATGGCGACCTGCAGCTAAAACACACCCAGAGGCATGACCACCACTATGTCCACTTACCTTCACATTTCACAACAGCCCTGGTACAGGCTGCACGCACATCATCAACTCATGGGGAGCTAGACACCCTCCTTAAATGCACATTTATTCTCCCCATAGGTTATGAACTAGGTCTCATCTTAAAATTAATATTGGAAACACGGAGGAGGTTCTAATGATACCAGTCTTTACTGGGCAAGTCCTGTGATTGGCCTTCTGCAGTTTCCATTATCGAAGGATGACTGCAGAGAAGTGAGAACCGTGGGCTCTTTGTAAGTGTTGTGTCACCCGGTTTGGTTCTAGCCTTTTTCCTGGGCTGAGGTCTTGCTGGACACGTCGGTTTACAAACTCTAGAATTGGTGTTTATGATGGAAACGCTGGCTCCAGCCTCCCAAAGCCGTACGGACATTGTGGCTAGGATGCTGTTGGCTACTTCTTGCTGGGAAGAAATTCTGAATTTTCCAAATCTGAAGCACAGCCAAAATCTGACCTCAGAACAAAACAAACCTGGCACCACCTGAGAAATGTAG